CTAGAAGAAAACAAATTTTCCAGATTTGCAAAATGGCCATTCTCATTTAAAATCATATACCAAGCCTTTCCTTTAAGGAAGCATCCATTTGCTTGACACCACCACAGAGGGCCATTAGTAATAAGTTTTCTTTTTTCTTTTTTTTTTTTTTACTTTACTGGGGAACAGTATGTTTTTCTAGGACCCATAAGCTCCAAGTCAAGTCATTGTTTTCAATCTAGTTGTGGAGGGCGCAGCTCACTGGCCCATGTGGGACTCGAACCAGCAACCTTGGTGTTATGAGCACTGTGCTCTAACCAACTGAGCTAACCGGCCACCCGAGCAATAAGTTTTCAGTCTTCATGATTTCTGGCTCTTTCAGAAAATTACTTGAAGACTGTTTCTAAATATATGTCCATGGGTAAAACTATAAAAGAAATGAAGAGTTGCCAGGTATGACTACACATTTAGTTTTCAGGCACAGTGAAAGGTCAGGGTTCCTCTTGGTATTAATATGTGGAGAAAGAATAAGGAAATTGGTGTTAAAAATATAGTAGATTCACTTTGTGGACCCAATCTAATCAGAAACTAGCTTATTAGCATCCTACCTCAGTTAAGTTGGGTATATAGAGAAGCTGTAGGAAAATCTATACAGATCCCTTCTTTTGTTTTGATGTCATCATTTTGAATGTAATAAGTATGACATTTGATAATTGAGACCACGTCTATGAGTCACTTGCTTTTGCATCTATGAGGCTATCTTTCTTTCTTGGAGCTGAGTAACTGCATAATTAAATTGCCCTTTAAAGAAACAATAACAACAGCAATAAGTCAAATGCTAACTCAACTGACACATGGTAAAAAAGGTCTGTTGTTTGTGTTTTAAGGTGACCCCACAGTAAACTTAACAGCATTAATGATATTAAATGTATCCTTTGCTATTGTAGTCCTATTAAGCTTCAGCTAAATATTTTATTAGCCTTATGTGTATTTTGAAGTTTTATTTTCAATGATCAGCATCTGCCAGGTAGTATCATAAAATAAGAATCACAAAACTCATCCACTCACCAACATTGCTTATGTTACACTATATCCATCCAAGGTACATTTCCAAATAGGTGGCATTCTGCTTTCAAATAGAGTTAGGCACTACATAAACATTGGATACAAATTAGCATTTAAAACATTTTCAAAAGTTGAGGGATGTTCTCAATATTTAATGTTTGTTTTTTCTTTCAGTAGCTTAAGAGATATGTACTTAAGTACAAGGACAAACAACAGTTCCATTGACTTAGATGAATTAGTGAAGAGAGAACATAAAATTTGATTAGGGTCAGTCCCTACCAAACAGGTTTTGAAATGTGGTAAATTATTTCTTCATATCAAGTCTTCAGTGTAATACTATGTGGCCACCTTACACAGTGGGTATACTCCATTGCTAGATCTTAACAGCCTGGTACCCTTTTACTCTTTTAGTCCTGGGCTAGAAGCTTGCTGCTGAAACTTATTCATATTTCTAGCTGTCACCTTCTTATTCCCTTTGTAATCCAAACTCCTCTAACATGTTCGCTTCACTTACTGGCTCATTTTTTATCTGTCCCATTTACTTCTTAGCACTTTGATAAATGGTTTGTTTGTTTTTTTCTTTCCTTTTCACCCTACCACTTGCTGAAAATGTTTTCTGAGAGATCTTCTGTGCTACTCTTATTTAAAAATTGAGTGGTTGCCTCTTAACCTTTTGTTGAAAGACTCCTCTTTGCCACAGCAATGATGCAGTGCAAAGAATACTGAAAACTTGATTTCAGTCTTGACTCTGCCACCCACAACTGACTGTGAAACTTCTGACAAGTTATAAAACATCAAAAAACTGACAAAGATGACTGTATGCATACATCAAAAGATATTATGAGTGGCTACCCATTTCTTTTTGAAACCCCATTTTCATTAGATTCTGCAATGCTGACATGTCTTGTTTCTTCATTCCTGCTACCTTTTCCTTAGCCTGCTGCCCTCCCGTTGGTCTGTCCCAAGATTAGTGGGCTATTCCAAGACTCTTGTTCCACATATGTCTGATGAACTCATCCATTTCACTTCAAGGTTAATCTTCCCAAAACACAACTGATTTATATCTTACCTAGAGCCTCCAAGACATCTGTTACTACAGAACACATATACATTCTATACATAAACAAACAACTATTAGGATTCCAAGCCGCTTGTCATCTGGCCCCAACCTACATTTCCTGTTCTGTCTCCCATAATTCCCTGTGTGTCATCCACTTGTAGTTCTCACTGCCCATCATCCCCTGCTTCTACTCTTTTGCTTCTGTTATTGTCTCAGTTTTTTCTTTTATCATCCTCTGCTTGCCTAAATCATATGTAACTTTACAAAGCTCAACTTAAATACTATGCTCTCCTTAATAATTGAAAATCAACATCTTTGCTTTGACTCAGCATAGCCCCTGATTAGTTTTTTTCTGTACTCTCACTGTATGCTTTGTATTATAATTAATTACCATACCAGATATGATTAGATAAGCTCCTTGAAATCAGGGAGAGGGTTTCATGGATGTTTTAAAACAGAATCTAAGTAGATAGAGCATAATTCAGTATCTAATATATAGAATAGTAACAAATGAAGAAATATTCAGAATGAATATTTTGCTTGGGCTTAAACATTTTGAAAATTTGAACTTCTAACAAAAGAATGTTTACCAAATTAATTTCGATTTTAGTATTAAAGTCATTAATTAATTAACAGAGCCACTGGATCATTGACTTTTTTTTTTAGTAACAGCTATATTGATATATAATTCCCATACAAAAATTCACCCTTTTACCTGATACAATTCAGCGATTTTTTGTATATTCACAGAATTATGCAACCATCTCCACTATCTAATTTTAAAACATTTTTGTCACTCTCCCCCCAAAGAAACCCCATACCCATTAGCAGTCACTCCCCATTCCCACCTTACACAAACCATGGGCAACTGCTAACTTAGTTTTTCTCTCTATGGATTTGCCTCTTCTGGGCATTTCATGTAAATGAAGTAATACAGTATGTGGTCTTTTGTGAAAGGCTTATTTCACTCAGCATAATATTTCCAGGATTCATCCATATTGAAGCAAGTATCAGTACATTATTGCTTTTTTTTTAAAGATTTTATTGGGGAATTGGGGGAGAGGAACAGCGTTGGGGAATCGGGGAAGGGGAACAGACAAGTTGCTGTCCTTTTGTTCCTCAGTCTAGTTGCTTCACTGGCCCAAGTTGGTATTGTGATCATTGCGCTCTTCCCGGGTGAGGCAGATCAGTCGCCAGCCCCTGGACGGCCGCTCACGGCAGCTCACAAAAGCTCACGTCCGCTGCCGGCCAGCCCCACTGCAGCCTATGCCGTTGCTGGTGATTCACGGCAGCCCAGCTCCAGGTCGAGCTGTTGTTCACCATCTTAGCTGTAGAGGGCGCAGTGTCACTGGCCCTCAAGTGGGATCCGAACCGGGGCCCTGCTGCTCAGAACTGGCATCCCAAGCCAACTCATAACCAACATGCCACTTGGCCAGCCCAGTACATTATTGCTTTTTATAGCTGAATAATATTCCACCAAATAGATATGCCACATTTTGTTAACACATTCATTAGCTGATGAACATTTGGGTTATTGAATCGCTGATTTTTAAAATTGATAATTTTAAAATTATCATTGCAGTGATCATTTGCTCAAGTTCCCTCCTTTTATGCAAGTAAAACTGAAGCCTAAAGATGTATTTCTAGATCTTTACCTAGAGGGTTGTTAAGTTTATTATGTCATACATGCTAGGTTGATAAAATATGATGCAGGCATTCATTCATTCGTCTATATTGTTAATAGTCATGGAGCACAGAGTCCTAAAAATCTGGATAGCAAAAACAATTATGTTTCTTGTTTTTATGAAGCTTACAGCCTAGTGGGGAATAAACTTTTAATCAAATGATCACAGAAATATAAATGCAAAATTAGAACTATGCTGAGGGCTATGAAGGAGAGATTCAGGAATTGACCTTGACCAGGAGGACAATTTAGCTGTGATCTGTGAGTAAGTAATTATTCACTAGGCATTCAGGTGGAGCATGAGCACATGAAAAGGCCCTGTGGTTACAGAAGCATGGCACGTAGGGGAATTCCAGGAGGCCAGTGTAAGGAGAGCAGAGGGTAAGAGGAGCATGGTGTAGACCGAGGCTGGAGGTGTAAACCAGTCCGGGATGAGGAAATGGTTTTTGGCTTTTTCCTAAGAACATTGGATCATGGAAGCATTTCAATTTCAGGCAAAAAGAAAATGCATGTTGCCTTACATTTCCATCTGGGGCTTAGATGCATTAAGTAAGGTACAGCTTGCTGGGTAATGCCAAAACGTGCTGTTTTGCCAAAACCTGTGGTAGAATCTGTGGCATTGAAAGTTTGTTTTTACTGAAGTCCTTGCTACCCAAAGTAGACACTTGTGTTATTTTCACAGAATAAACAGCTCCTTGTTAGAATTCTACTATTCAATTTTGTGAAGAACCATTCTTTACAACCCTCCTATAGAATAGTCAATCAAGCCTATTTGGGAAGTCATAGAGATATAAAGGCAACATTTTTTTCCATTGCACAGTAACTCTGTAAAATCTAGAGTACAAAATTAGTTCTTTAAACTGCACATGGTTAATATCTAATTCCTTAGCCCAAATGCTTTTAACTTGAGGTCCGTTGGCTCCCAGGCAGTATATGACTGGGATCCTTGAAGATTTTGTACAAATAAAGGTCATGTCTACATGGGCGTGAATCCAAAGCTTTCGTTAAATTTTATAAAGAGTCAATCATGCACCAAAAAGCTAAACAAACAAACAAACAAACGAAAAGATTTTTTCAGGAGAGAAACAATCCATAAGTACTAGTAAAAAAATATATTTGGGCATATTTCTTAATTGTGATGCCCTGACACCCTCTTATGGATCATATTGAGTACTTACTTGTGAATGGGTAGATTCCTGGACCCACTCCACCCTCTGCAATCAGAATCCCTGGAATGGAAACCAGGACTCTGAATTTTTAACCAGAATTCTGGATGACTGTGATGTCCGCCCACCTCTGGAAAGTTCAATAGAACATAATAAATAGCAACACTCTTTCTCTGTTAAATGTTTTGACAGACCATTCCTACCAAATTTGTACTGTTTTATAATAATAACACTAGTACCATGTAACAAACACTGAATATCTGTCAGACCCTGCGTAAGAGGCTTTCTCTAGCCTATCCCTGATCCTTAAAATTGTTCTACAAGGAAGCAGATATTATTATCCACAATTTATAGATAAAAAAGTGATGGCTTGATGAAATTAAATAGCATGCCGTACAGAGGTCTAGCTGGCTC